TTTGCATTTTGTAAATTGACAAACATAAACAATTACAATATATATTTTTGAAAGCATTCTTTACAGCATTTTTTTCACAGTTGCCTAAAACTTTTGTATAGTACTGTATATGAAACCATTACGAAAATACCTATATACTACTAAAACTCTCATTGTGTTTATCTGTTTGTACCTCAGTTTAGCCCAAACAGTGCATTATACTACCACAATTTTTGAATTCAGGTACCTAAAATCTGCTAACTTAAAGAATGCATAAAAAATCCGGGACCCATTACTCCTGTGGAATTGAAATTTCCATGATGTTCAGACCAGTTTTATTTGCAAAGTTGTGGCCGTTGCAGTGTCCCTGTAGTCACATGATTGTGATTTCCAATGTTCCCTGCCATCTTCCCACAAGCAAAGTCAATTGGGAAGCTGGCAGGATGTCAGATGTCAGTCCTACTCCAACTGCTTTTTTGCCTGCTTGTAGTCATTCTGTTTCCCTGTTTAGGTAAGTAAATATTGACATATAATTGAAGTTCATTTGCCACTACAAATATTTTTCTATTTATGATATATACTCTTCTTTTTCTATTTATGATGATCATGGGACTGTCCAGCATTGGGGTAAAAAAAATACAGTCAGCCTAAAATGTAATGTTAATTCTGGTCACATCAGACTGCACTACCTTTCTCTCAAAGGATGACCCAACAGGTCATAGGGTTGTCTAGTTTTATATAAAATGCTTGTTTTAATTTACAGTAAAATATGTGTTGGTTTTCAACACATGTGGTGCAGTGCCCAGAATACACTATTGGTCTTGGGAAATCAATTTTCTAACTTCATTTATTAAGCTAACTGGACAGTTCTCTGCATGATTAATCTCAGAGAATGCTTCTGTATTGCTGTTGTCATAATTATTTATAAATATATATACAATTGTTTACAAATATAAAATGATGTACAAGTCAAAGAAAAAAAACCCTGATGGAATCATAAATACAAAGTAAGCAATAAAATAAAAATTGATCACCAGACATAACTATAATTAAACAAAAATATGTATTTAAAACAGTCCACAATTAAAATACAAAATATTGTTGTTTTTAAAGCATATTTGAGAACTTATAGGTTTGTATCCAGTTGTGTCCATTTGCCAGAAATTAATTCTGCCCCTACACACTCAAAATTGCTCTGGAGGACTCAGGAAGTCCATATCAGACTTGAGAGGAGAATGAGGGAAGCGGAGGGCTGGAAAATTCAGGAATATTCTTATTGCATTTGGGGAACTTTCTTCATGTAGTGCTATACAGAAGTCATATAGAAGCAGCCTGGTAGAGATTTTCAAAAAGCATATGCGGAAAATTAACTACTAAGCAGGCCACATTTCCTGTTTTCTACCTCATCTCAATCTCATTTTCTTTGTAGAGACCTGAGTCCCAGAAACTGACTTCAGACTCAAGTGCCTAAAGATGCAATAGCTAAACACTTTTCTGTCTTCAAGCCAATTGTACCAAGGGCAGTCTCTTTTTTTCAAGCATGGATCTGGGTAGCAAATAAACATCATGCCCATAACCGCCCTTCTCCTCTGCTACTATTTCAGGTGCCTCTACAGGATAAGACAGGCTACAATGCTGGATATGGCTGTCAAGATGCTGGCAACTGCCTCAACCAAAAATATTTCTTCGAAGCAAGATTATCAGAGTCTCCTTTAACAAGATGTATTAAGATGAAAGGGATAGGTGACAAGAAATTCAGCAATTGGACTATTTCCAATTTAAAATCAATTTAACTCTCATTATATTACTGTGGAGACTTTCTTAGTTTCTAATAGCTTCCCTATGAACCAGCAAGGAGGTGGCTCTTTGCACTGATAATAGAGGAGTTTTAAGGTCACTGTTTACAAAACTGTCTCCTCAATATTTATCACTCTGTAATAAGTATTGTTAAGAAGCTACTGGCAGGGCAAAAGAATCTAGCCCAGGTAGCAAAATGTGGGCAACAGTTGCTGTAGGTGATAACATGCTGGTTTGGCCCTGAACATGACAGTATTATTAATGCTCTTTCTAATACAAACAGTTTGGATTAAAAGCCAGATAAAAGCATTTACTGATGGGCAGCCCCCTCCCCTTAGAGATACAAAATATTCTACAGAAACTAGGGTGAAAAGATGTAAAGATATGAGTTCAGCTCATTGGATCTAGTAAAGCAAATATAGGTTACTCTGTCAAGTATTAACTATCCAAGATCTAAAGCAGATAAATAAATGTTGTGGCCCTGTTACATCTCCAAGACCCTAAGATGTTCTGCTTCCAAAATTACATTCTCTACCATTTGCTGCTCTGTTCAGGTGCAAAGATGAGAATTTAGATAGAAAAAAGCATTTGAAAATATATTTTATATATTACAATAAATTATCTACACACAGACACACACACAGAGACACACACACACTTACAGAGCAAGTAACCTGGGCATAATACAGAATGAACCTAACACAGATTTTGTATGTACTACTTTTAAAAGCATAATTCTAATTTCATTACCCAGAGACTGTGATAACAATTTTCAATCTATTGTTGATATCTTTATGAAGAATTGTCAACAACAGCATATATCCTATAATCTGTTTCTGTTCTATTTTCAATTTCTTTGCATATTATCTTTGTACAACACTGAATTAAAATTACCTTAAATTAATCTCTCAGATTAGGTAAAGCTGAAATTTAGAAATCTATGAACAAGGGTTTTTTCCCTCCAAAAAACATACAGACCAATAATAACTAGTAATTCTTTGACTGACAGTTGTGAAAGAATTTACAGCGAAACAAACAATTCTAAAAAATGAAGATTAAAATAATAACCATTACCTGTTTCTTGATTATGCGGCTACTCAAAATTTTTTCTACTACGGGACCTTCAGCATCAGAAGATTCCTTAAAATGAAACATTTCATAGTAACTATTGATGTGAATAAAAGGAACAACCAAATTGTTTGGACTGGCCATCTTCCTACTATTGTCCTCTACAACTTGAACTCCCATCATTCCCAGTCACTCTGGGGAAGGCTATCTCAGATATAATATTGAAGTTTGCAAATTCCAGGCTTAGAAAATGAGTTCTGAAGCCTCATCATATTTCATTTCAATATGAAAATGAATATTGTAAACTTTTTTCGGTCAGATTTTAAAGAAAGAATCTCTCATTCCTAATCATCTTCTAGCAGCTGTGCAGCAGCCACTCTGGCAGGGAATTCACAATTTTCTGTTGTTTTCTCCCCTCTTTACAGAATATTGCTACATCTGCATGCACAGAAGTGAAGGTAATGTAATTTTACTATGACAACTTATATTTTTCTTACATCCCAAGATCCCTGACATATAGCTCTACTAGTGTTTCACATATTAGGAAGAGGGAAAAACTATTAAGAGAGAAGGGTAGAGCAGGGAGAAAGGAAAAAAGATATAAGGAGCTGCCAAATGAAGAGATTCATGAACTGAGGGGCAGAAATTACAAGTTAAATTCTAAATCTTGGAAATATAATTCCTAGAGCCAATCTAGGGGAAGCTCATTTATCTCTAGAAGTGATTAAGGAGCTGGGTCACTTGCTCTATTAAGAAAGTTGCTTTTTCAAATAGAGGGAACATGCTTTTATATCATTCATGGTTTAAAGATGTCTTCTCGTTCTGTTTTAAGTTCTTAGGGAAATCTTGCTGATCATCTTTGCTAGACTAGATGGATCCCCATTCTGATTCAGAAGGGACATTAGGTATTTTTGTTTTTACAGTATTTTGTTGTTAAACAGATTTGTAATGAAAAAAATGTTTGTTTTGTAAAGAATAATTATATTTTTTAATGTTGACACTAACCAAGAACACTTATTTTTATTTATTACAGATTTTATATTGCATTTTTTGTTTATTCCAACATTCAGGAAGTCTTACGACAATTAAAAAATACAAACAGTAAAGCATAACAAAGTCGATACAACTAAATTGAAACAATAAAACCAGTCAGTAAAATAAATAGCAATTAAAGTCTTGGCAAAACAGGTGTGTTTTTACTGTTTTCCTAAACACTAGGAGAGCCAAATGTACCTCCTTAGGTTCTTTTCTGAATACCCCAATAGTTGAGCAACTAGCAGCAGGGGCATCTTCTGCTGCCTTGAGTAACAGGGCAGGAGTACTGCGGGTAAGGTAGTCCTGCAAATAATCAGGTCCTAAGCTAATGCCTTAAATTCTGTCTAGCAGGCAATTGGTAGCCAGGGGAGTGTTCCAGATGCAATTTCCAGAAGCTTCTCAAGGATAGTTTCAATCTTACAACAACGATTCCCTCATTTACTTATCCTGTTTTGCAAATATCTGACACAGCACTGTAAAGGATTTTAAAAAGCTTTTAAAAATAATTACTGAACAAATACTTCAGTATGCCCACTTTCACCAATGGTTTCCCAAGTTAGTTACATGATGTATTTTTTTAAAAAAAGGTTGTAATAGTAGTCATTTCACATTATCACCCTTCATTTTATTCAATTCGTTTTATCCATCATTTACACTACATAAAAAATCAAGCATATCCCACTGCTTACTAAAAGACAGTAATTTCATAAAGGGGTTCTTATAGTACCTGACAGCAGGAGACAAGCTTGAGTGGTTTATTAAGTCATAGAAGCCAGACCACTGAATTCACAGAGGTAAATTCTGTCTCCTTGGAGCCTAGTTTTAAGCTTTTCAACACAGACCATTAATTTCACTAAATTATGTTAAATTACATATTGTAGGCATGTAAAGAAAATGTGAATGAACACAACCTTTAAGAATCTAAATAACTAATTTATTTTGGCATGTTGAGCCAAACTGAGATGGAAATCCCTTGGAAGGCGAGCAACACTAAAATATTGTTCAGAATTTTTAGTTTATCCCTCAGTTTGAAGAGCATAAATATGAACAGACCTGTTGCTCGGACTGAGAGTTATTTGAAGGGGAGTTTCTTCCAGCACCATCTGCATCATCAACTTCTTCATCAGAAATCTTGAATTCCAAGTCTTCTGTATAACGTTTTCTTTTAACCTGTCTGCTTGAACGCCTCTTCTGAAAAAACAAGAAGAAAAGAAATAAATATGTATGTTTCTACTTTATTAGTTACCAGTAATACTATTTTTTTCCCTAATCCCATAAATTAGTTATTTAATATAAAATGGTTTTCCCCAGTTTGTTGGGCCAATGTTCATATTCAGATATCACTGCAAGGGAATCATATGGACGTGCAAATGATGTAATGCTTCAGTAACCAGGTTCATTTGGGATAGAGCTATGATATTTGCTCCTCCATTTGTTTACTGTATTTATACCTCAATTTTCTGCCCAAAATGGAGCATGTGACTAACATTAATAAAAGTATACACAGAATTTTAATTATAAAAATTCAAAACCACCCCTTGTTGGTGAAATTTGGGGAACTATTTGTTGACTTGACACACAGGTTTCAGATCAGGGATCCTAACTTGAATAGAATAGCATGAGCATGCTTGAGGTGAAATTGAGCTTTGGTTGTGCTTGTGGCATACTGGCCAAAATGTTTCAAAATTTATTGGCACTGTGTCCTTACTATTAGCAAGGTATGCTGCATGGGATATGGATATGACTTAAGTCTAGTACCCTCATCTACTCTTTCATTGTCTTATAAAAAGTGTTATGTAAAAGTTTCAGATGACCAAAACCATGATGAGCCCATGGCATATTGAAGATTGTGGCTTGAACTGTAAGTGAGGCACACAGTAAAGAGTATAAGTTCATGAAAATGTTGTGTGTTTGTGAAATTAAGAAAAAAGGAAAGGATGCAACAGATCTGAATGAAGCTTATGATCTTCTGGAGTGGACTTGATAATATGCAAAGAAGTGAGGATGGTTTAATTATGAATAAAAGAGTTAAAATGTATGTCAGAAAATATGAACTGGTATCATTTAGAATGCAGAAGAATTCACAGGTTAGTAGTAATTGCATGGTACATTCCCCTGAATAGTGATAATGAAACAAAAAGGGTCCAGTTTTTAATATATGGATTAAGCATAAGTCTATTCACAAAATACACATGGAGAAGAAATTAATACAATTCTAAAAGCAAATCTGATTTTACTCTTTATGATGAAACACTGAGAGACTTAGGAAAGGATACAAGAGTGATCAGAGATTCTAAACCTGGAACAGACCATCTTTTGGTAGTGTCAAGAATGGATCTTAGGAAAAAATTATACAGAAAAAAAGGAAAGAAGCAAAAGAAACAATAACGAAAGAAGACTGACCTCAGAAAGAAAAACTATGAGTCCTGTATGAAGAAAGTCTTAAGTGACAATTAAGTGGATGGAAAGTGGATGTAAGGAATGATGTGTGGAAGCAGACTGGAACAGAGTGAAAACAGTTATGTTACGAAGTGTTACATAAGTGTGGAGAGTTAGTTTAATGGGACGTATGAAAAAGGATGCTTGATGGAATGACATAGGGAAAGAGGCAGAGGATAAAACAATGACTATAAGAGAATGACTGCTGCAAAAATGAAAATGAAAGCTAATGTATAAGGATAGATGCAAAAGAATGCAATCAAAGACAGCAAGAAATACTTAAAATTAAAAGGGACAGAGAAAATATAAAGCAGTTTGATGGACATAAACATTGATTTGGAAATAGGTGAAGAGCACTAAACAAGGAGCCTCCATCAGAATGAATGGAATTAAGAACAGAAGTGATGAAATGATTTGGGAAGATACTAAAATGAGCGAATGCTAGCTTGAGTAGTATTTTAGATTTACATGTGTGGTGTATCAGAGACTGGAATTGAAATTAACATTACAAATGTTAATATCCAAGAAACTAATGACATGTAAATCATGAAGGCTGTGAGAATGATGAAAAACTGGAAGACTGCAGGTGTAGTTAAACTATGTATATGATTTTCTTATTGAATGGCTGTGTGAAATCATCTGTGCTTGATGATCAAAATGCTGTTATTGTTCCACTGTGTAAAAGAAATGGTAATAAGAGTAAATGCAGAAACTACAAGAGGATTTGTTATTTTAGTGTACCTGGGCAGAATTCAGTTTGAAAGGACACAAGAGATGACATAACAAGCAAAATTTGGGAAATGCAGTGATTTTATGTCAGGCAAGGTATATGCAAACCAGATTTTTTGCCCTTCAGCAGGAAACTGAGAAATGTATGAAGGTGAGAAATAAATTTTATTGTATGTTTGTTATTTTATTAAAGAAATATGATAAAGGGTATAGTTTGAATTATGCAGCATTTTCTGTCAATATGGAAGTTGGTTACTGGATGCAATAAGAGCAGTACTTGATGGAAGTAACCTAAGTGTGAGAATAAATGGTTCAATACTGAGCATGCAGTAAGATAAATATGTGTGATGTCCCCTTGGTTGTTTAATGTATTTATGAATTAAATATATAAGGAAAATTTGTGGCAGTGTTAGAAGTAGAGACATCAACATGCATGAGCTTTTGTATGCTGTCGATACCATGTTGTGGGCTGAGAACCCAAATTATTGAAGCAAATGCTGGACTGTATGATGCAACATGGAATATGGATCTTACAATAAATATACTGAAGACCTAGATAGCAGTGCCTGACAGGGGAAATGAATGAATGGAAGTTATACATAAAGGCAAAAAGGTAAAGCAAGCAGATTAATTTGTGCAGCTTGGCAGAATGTTTACTTAAGATGGGAAAATGGTTGGAGAATATTTAAGATGTGTAAATGCTGCTAGAATGGTAGTGGGTAGTACGTGATCTGTTGTGAAGAATGAATAACTTGCTTGTATATAAGTGTATTCTGCCCACTTTTTAAGTGGAATTGAGAGTTGAATATATTGGAAAAAACATAAAATTTGAATACAGAAGGAATGAGGTACTTAAGTGTTTTGTACTAAAACAAGGTTAAGAATGAATAGGTGCTGAATGAATGTGGAATGAACACAAAACTGAATGACCATACAAAAGAAGTATGTTTAGGTGGTTTGGTCATATAAAGAGAATAAATGAGGATCAAATTCCAATCAAATACATGATTTGTATCTGTATTTGATACAAATTATATCAAATCTGTATTTGATACATCTGAGAAAGTCATAGCTGGATAGGGCTGATGACATCCTCAAGAAAGAAGGAGGATGGAAAAGAACAAAAGATGGTATAGGGATATGATGGAAACAAGAATAGTTCACAATAATAGAAAAGTATAAAGAGGTAAAGGAAATTGTGCTGCTAAAAACTATATTTAGATTTCCTTTTCTTTTCTCCTCCAAATCCTTTTTTTCATTAGTTGTTATTCTTTTTCTACATTTTGTAGAACATTTCTTATTCCAAAAGGGAATAGCTGATGGGTATGTACACAGGTATATATGTAAATAAAACTGAATACAACTAAAGATGTAATTTAAAAATACACAAATATGAAGAATAGACAGCATCAGATTAAACCCCATCAGCAACAAAACCAATTTACATTCTAAAACCTGCCTGAATACAAATAATATAATAGGGAGCTAGACTGACACTTTTTCAGCAGTTCTAAGTCTTAATAAACTTTGTTATAAAATCATTTGATTTTGAATTATATGGCTATGCTCAACATTCTTAGCTTACCTAAAGCATTAGCTTACTGTGACTTCTTAACTGTGATAATAATGTGTTGCTGCCCTGCTTACAAACCCAACATTGTTTGGGAGCAAGAAAGTAAGATCCAAAGTTCAAAAGAAAAGATTCTCTAGTTTTTCATTCACATGATAATGTTGAATAAATAGAACATATGGATTGGCATGCTAATCATTCATCGTATGCCAAGATAAGCCAGGAATTCTGGCTTTTATTTTGAGTACTTGAAGCTCTGGCTGTATTATTTGCAATGAGTAGTAGGAATAGTAACTAATAATAGGAATAGCAAGAATGGATCATGAGAGCCAGTTTAGTGCAGTGGTTAAGCCATCAAGCTATGAGTTCTAGTCCCGCCTTGTGCACAAAGCAAGCTGGGTGACCATGGGCCAGTCACTCTCTCTCAGCCCTAGGAAGCAGGCAATGGCAAACCACTTCCAAAAAACCTTGCCAAGAATACTGTAAATAAATAAATAAATATAACAGTTCTTTGAGCACATATCTACACTATTTCTTTCCCATCTCCTATTCCAGCGGGGCTTCAGTTTCCATTTTTTATTAACTGCAGTTTACCATAATGTTCCAAACCTAATCTGTGATTAAACTTAACTACAGTAAGTTGAAACAAGCCATGATCATAATCAGACTTGCTTCAATGAACTTATTCATGATAGAGCACTGTACAGTTCAAATAAAAAGAGGCATGATTAACCTAACAGCAAATAAAATTCAAAATTTCTCCTCAGTGCCAGAAAAAAGGGGCGTGCTCATTCTTGTAAGACTAAATCATAGATTAGCATTATATCTGAACGAGGCCATTGTGCTCAACAATCAGGTATGAACAAATGACCAATGGTAGTACCTGAACTCCTGCATCATCATCTTCTTCAGGATGTGGCGATCCTAGTGGTGTTTTTTCCACATCTGAGTTTTCAGAACCTTCCTTTCCCTTGTTGACCTTTTTCTTCACTGCACTAGATTCTGATTCTGGTTTCTTGTTACTGAAACAGAAATATCTTTAATCAGAGTTGCATATACAAATATTTTCCTATTTTGAAATGGAGTAAATTTCTAGTAATTTTACTGTAGCTGTTTCAATTTCTTCAACCTAATTAACTTTTAAAAAATATATTGAATAAATGCTACTATTAGACCCATTTTAATTGCAATATGTATCTAACCAACATAAATAAGAAAATGTCAGTGTTCATATGGTATACATAATAAAACTGAAATTGAGAAAAATAATCAAAGGACAGATCTTGACATGTTTATCTTAAGCTGCATACATATACATGTACACTGATCCTGTATTATGTTCCTTTATAATTCTCTTTAAAGTGGGTATCCCGCCACTGCGTATGGCAGTATTAAAAGGGGATAAGGATAGAGTTGATGAATTTACACAAAAAGTAAAACCTGGCCTTTAGTAAATAAAATCCTGGCTCTTCCAAAACCATGGAAGTAGAATGCTGAGTGTTCATAATGCCTTCATCTTCCCAGGGAATAATGACAGGAAGCATGTGGGAATGTTAATCTGTTGAGATTTGTTAATATTCTTCTATTCAGAACATAAACTGCAATTCTTACTTCCACATGGGAATTCTGAATAATAGTGACAAAATAAAAGTTGAAGCAAAAATCAATCTAGTAAATTTGAATATAAGGTGCGTACACTATGTAAACCAAAAATCATGAATATTCAGGTGAAATTCCTCTAATAACTTTTGCAAAACAAATATGCATGTAAACACATGTACACAGAATATAACTACAACTCCATCAGATACATTAGAAATACAAATCACATATTCAATTCTGTCACCTATACAGTTATGATGTCAAGTTCCCAGAAACTATATATGTGCTTTTGTCAAATGTATTCATCATATTCAGAATCCAAGGAAGAACAAAAGTAAGGCAGGAAGGATTAGATTATTTACTGAGTTAACTGTTTTTACTTGTCGTTTTATGTCATTTTATGTTTAAGTCATACAAATAGGTTTCTAAATTATCTGATCTCAAATCATTCTAATTCCATTATTTTTACACAGTAGTGAACAGTAAAAAGTAAAAAATATACTTCCAAAATTTCAATTTAAAAACACCTACTTAATTTTCAAAAAGCTCTAAAAAAAACCTGACAATACCGAACAAGTTTGACATGTTTTAAAAGTCTGAAGACAATCATTTTTTAAAATGAATCTTCACAACTGTTCCATTTCCAACCATCCTAGTATGTATACTACACATGGACAGTAGCCTCCCCTACTATGAGGCTCCATTTCCAGCATTTATTTCCGCTCTAACTGCCACAAATTATACAATGCTACAGCTGAATGCTGGGCCCCTTTCCTTTCATCTGCACGCCAAGAGCAATCAGATTACCCTGGTAACCAGTGATCACATGACCAGCACCTGCTCTTTTGGCTGGATGCCACTGACTAAAGCCATCTGCTTCCCTCAATCAGCTTTCAAACATTTTCAACACCTGCGCTGCAGCATTTTGTGGTTTCTTTTATCAAATCAGTGGAAAACTGCTTCCCAAACTTTACATATTTCTCAAATTTGTTTAAATCAAAGGTAAGCCTGTCATGGTTGAAACGCTGCCAGATAAAGCAAGTTGACAGGTTACTACTTTTTACTGGTGACCTCTATAAATCAGAGCATATAATTTGGTTTAATAATGGTTAGCATACCTTGTGTGTACTACTGCTTATGGGTAGCTAGCTAGAAATACTGAAGAATTGTTTAGGGCAGGTTTGATAACCTATTAATATCCTGAAAGGCTAAAAAGTGGTAGCATCCTTTGTATTCTCTATTGTTTAAGACACAGAGGAAATTCAAGTACTTACAAGGCAAGAGGTTTCACTGTGAATTAAATTAAACTGTGTGCAGGACCAACTGTGCTTTTTTACTAGAATCATCCATACCCATCAACTAGAGTCAGGGAAGGATGTGATAAAACAAGACACACTAAAGAAACAGAGTGGCTCAAAGCACATGGTCATTTCAGGACGGTTTCACTCTCAGGACTGAGCTCAGTGCTCTTCTACATAGTTGTCCCACTATTCTTCATGTCAGAAACTTAACTTTGTGGGGAAGGATAAGAGACTTGTTGCTATTCATAAAACTATTAGGAATCCGCAATCCTTTGCTGATCTACTACAAATTATCCAAAAGCTATCTATAGATGCTGACTTATTGTTTGCTGAGATAGGTACACAGATAAGATATTCCAACTTTACAGGATTTCTTGCACTAAAATATACACAATAATCTGAAAATAAGTATTTCAGGTACTTAGATCCCACCAATACTCAAGCTATGGCAAATACAGCATAATTGTTCAGAAAACCAAATAAGCATAGTAGCAAAATGAAGCTAGGGGAAAAGGAAAACAGAAAGAGATACAACATTCTTCCCCAAGCTGAACACACTGCAAAAGGGTAGATTTCAACTCCCAGAATTCCCCAGCCAGCATGGTCACTGCTAAGACATCTGAGAATTAAATCCATACAACTGGAAGAACTTCAGGTTAGGAAGCTGAAATACAAGACAGAAAATACAGTTCGGCAGTACAACATGAAAAAAAAAAAGAAATACAAAAGCAATAATAAAATATACACAGTTGAAACATACAACAGGGCTAAAAAGTCATTATTGTTATTAATTCCACTTCACTCTTACAAGTTTTAAAAAAGCTGGCAAATGTCTATATCATTATCACTATCATTAATTAAAGCAAATCAATCTCTCTTCTCTTTCTTACTGAACTGATTAAGGTTGTGTGGAAAGCCAGAGTCTTACAACTGCCTGGCAGGAGTTGGAATGCATCTGAGGATGTGAGGTGGTCACTATTTGAGGATATGAGATACTGAATCTCAAGTTTTGCCATCAAATATACATTGTGAAGCACTGCAAAGGGGAGGCACAGACACACCTCCACATAAGCAGAGGGGACAAATGCCCAATCGAGGAATGTTTGAACCTAGATTCTGGACAGAGGTTATCATCTCCCTTGATGAACTGGGGTAGCCAATACCATAGGATTTTAAATTTAAATAGGGAGGAATGTGCAAGACATAACTTGTAAGCTATGAGGAAAAAAGAAACCAAGATTCAAATTGTTCAGAAGTCTTAGCTAATGTGTGCAATTTTAGCTTCAAAAATTAGTAAAATTGACATAATCATCCACATAAGCCCCAGAAAAAAGGAAGAACTGAACATAAGTGTGAATAGAATTATCCTAGAAAAAACAGTAAATAAATGAAGTACCCACATAATTTCTCAACTCATTAGAAATCAATAGGCTATGTTCCCAACAAATTAAAAAGATGGCAACTGTCATACAATTAAGAAATATAAATAAAAACAATAGATTATTAAAAAGAATATGGCTACAAGTATAAAATCCAGATAATTATGAGTAATGATTCAAATTTTACTTCCAGTTTTACAATCAGGTACTTGATTAGTTTAAGAATGCTGATATGACAATTTTTACAAGCTAACATTTAATAAAGATGAATATTAAATAATGTTGTATCGTATCAGAAGAACTAGTGTTGTTCTATATGTAGAAATAGCCAGGGCCAGATCTTTTTAAGGTTTAAAAATACTGATTTTCCAATCTGCCATATACAGAATATTTATGGAAACCATTACTAGTGTGTTATGTTCTTTGGGACATTTAAGGAATGAGTGACCAAAAAAAAAAAAAAGCGGGGATACCATTAGGAGTCAATTTACTAATTAAAGTAATATTTTAGTTAAAACAAAACAAACAAAACTACACAAAAAAGCAAAGGTTCCAATGTTTGTCTGGAGTTACCTCTTTCTCTTACTGTCCCACTGCACTGCCATTAGATATGTAAGCAGTTTCATTCGGTCAAAATCCTAACCTAAGTCCCACTCAACCTACACTTTGACTGCTCATCAAGGTCCTATCTTGTCCCTTCACTACCCATGTAAACATGTAAAATTTCACATCTGACACATTATCACAGGCTCAGGTGTATATAAAAATTAAAAACTTCTTGGAGAAAGCAGGAAACTGTACAAAGTACCCTGATCTTGTAAGAGACCCCAAGGTACCCCCATTTTCCATGAAGTCCACACTGCACTTTTCAATAATCCCTTCAATGTTATCCCAGACCCTACTTAACCTACTCAGCTTTCCTTCTTAATCTCATGATCTCCCAAAGCACTGATAGAGGCAAACTTAAAGGGAGCATCAGGCCACCCTAAGAATGCTTGCCTAACTGCTAGAAAATTGTGTTGTGTCTATACAAGAAACCAGAAAAGGTCTAACAATAAATAATTAATTAGCAGAAGACCAGGAAGATGGGGGGATTTGAGCTGTGTGTATAAAGTACCAAACTTCTCAGAGCCCTTGTTATGTTGACAGTTCCCATATTGTTACTTGTTCCACCACTGGTCCTAAATATATATATATATATATTAAAACTTAATACAGAGGCTAAACATAGTACTCTTTACTACTTTAGACTTGACCACAAAATATTAGTCTAACAAAATGAGGCTTAATGTCAAAGTTTCATGCCAGTTGATGTTCAAAAGTAAGAATGTTTGGGAACCATGAATTCCATACTTTTCACTAGCCACCAAAAATAAATTTCAATAGAAGCTTGATAATTTAACTTGGTATATAGGTTCTCAAACTTTGTAAAACTATGATCCCTTAAAATGAAATACTAACTTGCATGACTGCCCTTCCCATCAAGAAAAGTAATGACCTCATTGCGACTATGGTTAATACACTACTTATTTTAATATATGTATCACAGGGGAGCTCAAATTTTGAGGTACCTGCTCTGCATTTGTACAAAGTGGGGAAGAAAGTGGAGTTATTTCTGAGAGTGTTCCCACTTAGCCTGTGCAAATTGATCAAGTCTCTTCTCTCTATAGTAGTTTCCAACCTCCTGGGGGTCCAATTTGAGAAATTCTGCCTTAAAATCATTTCAGGTACAGCCAGTCT